AAATGACTTCTGGAATGAGACCCTTATGTCGCAACTGGATGCGCTTGTTCGGAAAGTCCAAGTCAACAAGCCATGTGCAGCTGATGCAACAACGATAGTTATGTCTGTTACCGAGCGCTNCGAGCGGAATGTAACGAAGCGGTTCGATGAAATAAATGTTGATTGGCTAGTTGTGGAAAAGCAGTTGCAAACATGGAGCCACCTTATGCACAACGGAAGAAAGCTGATAATAAAGGTCACTTTCAATTACGTAGAGACTAAAACAGCTGGCCCTGCTGGACAGGGCTCTACTGGACAGGGCTCTACTAGTGGTCAGCTTGCAGAGAGGCAAGCTCGACGTGATGCCGAAAGGGCTGTTTTAGGCCGAACAGCTGCTTGGGAGCATGTATTTGCTGTTTTTAGTTGCCCAGGTGCCCCTTGTGACCGAGGTCCTTATTGCTGGCAAGACCCAGTTACTAAAAAACACTTTAAGCTTATGGGACATCAGCTGAGGAACCTCGTTAAGCGAGTGCAGAGCGGCGATGATATAAACAATCACGAAGATATGCCTAAAGAGATCCGTGACGAGATATATGCTGAGGAGCAACAGCAGTCATCTCGGAAGCGAAAACGAGCTTATTCAGGCTCTTACGCTACTGGCCTTCCGGCTATACACATCCATAACATTGTACCTGGCCACGGTGGCATAACCTCAACTAATTCCAGAGTGAGATCTACGCCTGAAGCGGCATCCTTGCGTTGTACTTTGGAGGGTCTCGGAATGCGAGACGATGTAGCGGAGGAGTACTTTGCATGGCATGGTTCACGGGTTAGAAGACAGATCCTTAAGGATGAGTATGAGCGAGCTTGCGAGCTAGTACTAAGTAAGGGTTATGATCTTGACTTGATCAACGATGATCAAGAGAGTGTGTACCAATTCCTTACCGACCGTGGTATAATGGAGGGTCCGGCGCGGCGTGTGGTCCGCGATGTTGAGATCTTTCTACACCAGCAACAGTAGGGACTGGATTAAGCTATTTACCTTGGTTAGCTTTTTACAACTACTGTAACTTACATCCTTTAAATACATATCTCACTGTGCTTATGCCCATTTAAACTTCGGGAAGCCAATGCTAGATTACTCGTTACTTAAATTAAAGCCCGAAAATTTATTGAGCGATTAAACATTAGCTTCTTGGGCTATCAGTACCTGTAAAATGCACGCTACATAGTATAACGACTAGCAGCACCTTAACTTGGGTTATCGTCAATAGAAATCCCAGCGTGTCTAAAGTGGCCCCTGGCGCTTTCCTTTCGCCTTCCAACGACGCGAACAGCTTCTCTAAGAAAAGCTGCAAAGTCCTCTTTAATTAAGTCCTCAAATTCATCCCAANNCTCTTGAATGTATCTCTTCAGCTCACCAAAGAATTCCTCGATTGGGTTGAGGTCAGGGGAGTATGGTGGCAA